CGACTACTTCTTCCACTAGTATTACTACTACTACGCTGCTAGACTACGACTACTACATAACTCTACTACTACTACTGTACTGCTACTACTACTACTACTACTACTACTACTACTACTACTATTACTACTACTACTACTACTACTACTACTACTACTACTATAACTACTATGACTACTACTACTACTACTACTACTACTACTACTCCTACTACTACCACTACTACTACTACTACTACTACTACTACTACTACTACTACTAACTACTACTACCACTACTACTACTACTACTACTACTACTACTATCTACTACTACTACTACTGTACTACTACGAGTACTCTAGTACTACTACTACTACTACTACTACTACTACTACTACTACTACTAGTACTACTACTACTATTACTACTACTATTACTACTACAACTACTACTACTACTACTACTACTACTACTACTACTACTGCTACTACTATTTCTACTGGGACTACTACTACTGCTGCCACTAGTACGCAGACTACTACTACTACTACTCCTAGTACTACTACTACTACTACTGCCACTACCACGACTACTACCACTACTATTACTACTACTACCACCACTACTACTGCTAGTACTACTACTAATACCACTACTACTACTACTACTACTACTACTACTACTACTACTACTACTACTACTACTACTACTACTACTACAGAGAGGCGACCCAGAGAGCCTTCGGACGTTCCCCACAGGCTCAAAAGAGAGCCCCAGACGCCCCAACACGGCCTCCAAGACGCTTCACAATTGCCTTGGATACGACTACTCGTCCTACTACTACTACTACTATTCCCACTACTACTACTACTACTACTACTACTACTACTACTACTACTACTACTACTACTACTACTACTACTAATACTACTACTGCCTACTACTACTACTACTACTACTACTACTACTACTACTACTGCTGCTACTACTACTACTACTACTACTACTACTACTACCACTACTACTACTACTACTACTACTACTACTACTACTACTACTACTACTACTACTACTACTACTACTACTACTACTACTACTACTACTACTACTACTACTACTACTACTACTACTACTACTACTACTACTACTACTACTACTACTACTACTACTACTACTACTACTACTACTACTACTACTACTACTACTACTACTACTACTACTACTAGTACTACCACTACTACGACTACGACTACTACTACTACTACCACTACTACTACTTCTAAACTTACTACTACTACTACTACTACTACTACTACTACTACTACTACTACTACTACTACTAGTACTACTAGTACTGCTACCACTATTATTACTACTCATACTACTGCATCTGCTACTACTACTACTACTACTACTACTACTACTACTACTACTACTACTACTACTACTACTACTACTACTACTCCTACTACGAGGGAACCGAACGACTCGCACCAGGACGACGTGCCCGAACGCCTCACACCACGAGGAGCCCGAACGACTCACACCCGGACGAGGGGCCCGAACGACTCACACCACGAAGAGCCCGAACGACTCACACCAGGAGGAGGGGCCCAGACGACTCACACCAGGACGAGGCGCCCGAACGACTCACACCACGAGGAGCCCGAACGACTCACACCAGGACGAGGGCCCCGAACGACTCGCACCACGAGGAGCCCGAACGACTCACACCAGGAGGAGGAGCCCGAACGACTCACACCAGGACGAAGGGCCCGAACAACTCACACCACGAGAAGCCCGAACGACTCACGCCAGGACGAAGAGCCCGAACGACTCAAACCACGACGAAGAGCCCGAACGACTCACACCAGGAAGAAGGGCCCGAACGACTCACACCAGGACGAGAGGCCCGGAGATATGCGGGGGCGCCTGAAAAACACGACTGTCGGCATGCTTCGCAAGAGTTGCTGTTTTGAGATGGGCTGGTGGGGATACGCGAAGCGTGAAGAATAAAAATAATACCAACAATAAAAACAATAATAAGAAAGGGTTCCTGGTGGGGGAGGGTTCAGCGGCCCAGAAAACTATCCTGGCGAAAGACCCAACCATATGCAGTTGTGAGTGCCGCAATTGTGAGTACCTTCTTCGGTGGCGCTCCCTACGGGGCCACGAACCGCATGAGGGGTATGCCGAAATATGGCGGGGTACACAACGCAAAGGAATACGATAGGTCAGATTACGAAAGAATGAACGCGGATGAGCCAGAGCGCGAGAGAGTCTGAGTGTGAATGGGTCTGCGTGGGAGTGAGTATATTTGCATGAATGCGATCTTGGCTACGCCTACTGTAAATGTATATGAATGTGAATGGCTCGAGCATGCCTGTCCGAACACTCGTGACACTGGGCGTGGCCGCCGCAGGCAGCTTCCGCGGGAACCCCGACGGCAGCGCCCGCGCGCCGCGACGCCCATGTCGGCACGCCCCTCACGGGGATCGCACCCGCTTCCGCCCCTTCTTTTCCCCCCTCTTTGCCTGCGCGCTCCAAAAATCCAAAGCTGCGGGCGCAGAGCAGCGCGGAGTCCCCGCGACGCGCGCAGGTCGCCGCGGAGGGGTCCCAGCGACGCGCGCAGGTCCTGAGATGGAGCTCCCTGTGGGGCCACGAAACGTGTGAAGGGGTGCCATGCGAACTGCACCACTGGGACCTTAGGTGCAACTCCCTGAGGGGCCACGAAACGTGTGAGGGGTGTGCCAAAAAGGGGCGGTGGCGCCATGCGAGCTGCGCCACTTGGACCTCAGGTGGAGCTCCCTGAGGGGCCACGAAACGTGTGAGGGGTGTGCCAAAATGGGGCGGTGGCGCCATGCGAGCTGCGCCACTTGGACCGTAAATGGAGCTCCCTATGGGGCCACGAAACGTGTGAGGGGTGTGCCAAAAAGGGACGGTGGCGCCATGCGAGCTGCGCCACGTGGACCTTAGGTGGAGCTCCCTATGGGGCCACGAAGCGTGTGAGGGGTGTGCCAAAATGAGCTCCCTGAGGGGCCACGAAACGTGTGAGGGGTGTGCCAAAATGGGGCGGTGGCGCCATGCGAGCTGCGCCACTTGGTGGAGCTCCCTGACGAAACGTGGCCAAAAAAGGCGGTGGCGTGCCAAAATGGGGCGGTGGCGCCATGCGAGCTGCGCCACTTGGACCTCAGGTGGAGCTCCCTGAGGGGCCACGAAACGTGTGAGGGGTGTGCCAAAATGGGGCGGTGGCGCCATGCGAGCTGCGCCACTTGGACCGTAAATGGAGCTCCCTATGGGGCCACGAAACGTGTGAGGGGTGTGCCAAAAAGGGACGGTGGCGCCATGCGAGCTGCGCCACGTGGACCTTAGGTGGAGCTCCCTATGGGGCCACGAAGCGTGTGAGGGGTGTGCCAAAATGAGCTCCCTGAGGGGCCACGAAACGTGTGAGGGGTGTGCCAAAATGGGGCGGTGGCGCCATGCGAGCTGCGCCACTTGGACCTCAGGTGGAGCTCCCTGAGGGGCCACGAAACGTGTGAGGGGTGTGCCAAAATGGGGCGGTGGCGCCATGCGAGCTGCGCCACTTGGACCTTAGGTGGAGCTCCCTATGGGGCCACGAACCGTGTGAGGGGTGTGCCAAAAAGGGGCGGTGGCGCCATGCGAGCTGCGCCGCGTGGACCTTAGGTGGAGCTCCCTATGGGGCCACGAAACGTGTGAGGGGTGCGCCATGATGATGACGATGATGATGATGATGACGATGATGGTGGGAGAAGGGAGGGAGGAGGGGGAGGAGGAGGAGGAGAGGAGGAGAACGCGGGGCGACGTCTCTTCAAAACGAGGACCCAACACCACAGGATGGTTGGGAAAAAATCAACGAATCGGCACCGAATGTGTAACCACTTCCGATGGTTTCTTCGGTGGGGCATTTTCTAGATTTTGGGGCCCATTTGAAGGACCAATTTGGAAGCACGATTTGGAACAATTCGAGGCGCAGAAATTGAGCCAGCGCTCCAGCGAGAGCAACATTTAGAGAACCCAAATAAAAACAAAAAACAGAGAAACAACCACACAAAAAAACGAAAACCCAACTCCTGGGAATGCTGTGTAAAAAAATCGTGCGCGGAGGGGGGCCGGACCTCTTCCGGACGTCATCACGGGAGAGAGGAGAGTAGTTTTCATATGGCGCAATTGTACAGGACGAGGAAGACAGACCCGCAAAGCGCCAACGATGCTCAAAAATATTCCAGATCCGAAGTCGCCGATCTTTCCTCCTCAACCTTCCACATCTGGAGGGGGGTCTGCAGCAAGCCGAGCGTCCATCGCAGCGTGCTCTACACGTCCATGGCAGGAGCGCACGAACTGCACTCGCACCCCACGGCAAGCGTCAGTCCCGGCTGAGTACGGCGAGTCGAGCCGCCCTATAGCGGTCGACAAACTGCCCGAGGTCCCACAGAGCCGTGCGGCCTCTCCTTGCCTCCCCCGTTATCCGTTCCCTCCCCTTCCCTCCCCTCCCCTCCCCTTCCCTCCCCTTCCCTCCCCCTCCTTCCGCCCCATGGACTTCGCCCCCCTCTCTGGCACACGCTGGGGCGCGCACGCAGTGTTCTCCACTGGTGCGCGCCGCGCCCCGCCCCCCACCCCCACCCCGGAAGGGAAACAGGGCGGCAGCGACGTAAAGATCCCGGCTCCCGCTATCTGTAGCGGACGGACGGATGCTGCGGAAGGTCGAGCTTCGCCCTCCCCCACGTGCCTCCCAGTCTTCTACGGTGACGGTATTGGATAAGGAACCAGTGGATAGGGAATCAAGGGTCTGTGGAAGACCGTGGAACTCCAATCGTGGTTTAGCCATGGATGTCGTCGCCGCGCCCACCTCCCCCATCTTCCATCATCCTCTCTCCCCCCCTCCCGTAATCATCACCTTCAGCAACAGCATGGTCGTACCCGTCGCCATCACCATCCTCCTGATCGTAACTACCGCCGAGCTCAAACACGCATCCTGCCTCGTTCGCCCCCCCCCCCCCGTCCTGGTCCGTCTTAAAGTTCCCTGCCATGTCGACCAGGCGGAACAGATTGCTCTCCTGCCTAGCGATCATCGCCTCAGTCAGTCCGACAGAAACATGCTCTCACCCTTCACCCCCTCGCCCCTGAAACCAGCACCCCAGCAGGACGAGAAGGATGCAAAGGCGGACATATGAAGGAAAACCAGGAGGAAACAGATGGAAATGAGGAGGGACAAAGGAGAAGGGAGGAGGCGAAGGAGGAGAAGGAGAAGGAAACGAACGACAACAGCGAGGGCGATGATACCAAAAGCGATGGGGGCGAGGAAGAGGCCCAAGAAGAGGATCAGCACGACGACAACGATGACGATGAGGATAAAGGGAAGGAGGGAAACGGGAGAAGGAAGGAGAAGAGGAGGCAGGGAGAAGGCGGAGGAGAAGGGAGGAAGAGGAGGAGGAGGAGGAAGAGCAGCAGCAGCAACAACAAAAGGAGGCAGGAGGCGGAGGAGGAGCAGGCGGAGGCGGAGAAGAGGATGAAGGATCAAAAGGGGAGGGAAGACGGAGGAGGGGCACTTCCAGGGGCAAGAGGCAACGGAAAAAAGGGCAAGAGATGAAGCAGGGCAAGGACGAGGAGGTGGGGAATGTTCCTCGAGGCCCCACGTGCAAAACGAAACAAAACAAAACGAATCGGGCGGGACGGCGAGCCTGCTCGAGCGACTAGATGCGCTCCGAGGTGGAGGAAGATAATGGCACGCCCGTGGAAGGCGGGTGCCCCGAGCTACCCTCAACAGAAAGAAGCAGGCCACAACCACGCTTCCAGATATCGGACCTGGTTTGTATGTAAGCACGTGGGGAACTTCGGGAGATGAACAGTGGGGTGGACCCGCCTCTCTTGGTCAACAGCGCCGTCTGAATCGCACGCCGTTGTTTACTCACACCCCATCGAACCAGAATGCCACTCTCGGGTATCGTGCCTGCTTGAGGTGGACTGGACAGCGTCGTTCCCGAATCATGGGTCCTGTGATGCCTCCTACCGCTATCCCGTTGCGTGCGGTGACCGTCCAAGGCAATCGCCGGCCAAGACGACGGTGAGCCACCGTAGTGTCTGTGGCTTTCTGCTTGCGGTTGCTCCCAACTCCCTCCTCGTCTCCCGTCCCTCGCCTTCTCCTCCCCTGCTTCCTGCTCGCTGTCTCCCCTGCCCCATTCCCGCCTGCCCGCCCACCTGCTTTGTCCCACCAGCCCTGGCCTCCCGCCTGCGCGTTCGGCGTCGTCGGGCTGCTTCTCGTTCGTTTGTCCCCCTCCATCGCCGCGCAGCACCGGACTGCCGGGAGCTGGCGCTTCTGCCACCCGGCATGCCCCCGGAGAGGCCGCTGGACCCACTGGTGTCTGCCGAGCACGTGCCCACGAGTGGACTCGCAAATGGCCCGCACGCCTTCCTCGGGCTCTCCTGGGCGGCAGGCTCCAACCACCCGCGGGCGCCAGGCGAGCCCATCCGCAGCCAGCCTGCAGGCGGCTGCAAACGGCCCTGCCTCGCGGCAGCAGGCGACCGAGACGTGCGAAAAGCGAACGACCGGGGAGAGGAGGAGGAGGAGGAGGAGGAGGAGGAGGAGGAAGAAGAGGAGGAGGAGGAGGAATGCAGGAATGCAGGAAGAAGACTGCATTTGCTCACAGACACAGCTCTACTAGAGACCCCCTAGGACATCTGTGGTCGACCATCGATCCTCGAAGCCTCGATCCCTCGATCCCAGCTGGAAACATACCTTCTCGATCCCTCGATCCTCGACCCTCGATCCTTGATCCATTTAGTCCTTGACGTTAAAAGACCTCGACCCTCGATCCTCGACCCTCGATCCCCGAAGAACATCTGCGTTCGACAATCGATCCTCGACTCCTCAATCCTCGATCCCATAAAAAGCCATAGATTCCTCGACCCTCGATCCTCGATCGCTCACTCGATTCCTCGATTATTTCTCCCTCGATCCTCGACATTCAGAAACATCGACCCTCGACCGACGATCGTCGACCTTCGAGCCACGACCCCTCGAGCCGCGATTCCCCTAAGACATCTTAATTCGACCCTCCATCCTCGATCCCTCGAGTCTCGATCGCATGAGGAAATCTCGACGATGCGGTCGTGAAGGCCGTCTAAATGGAGCCAGAGTAATTAGACGGGGTCGGAGGAACACACTGCGTCGTCGATGCATCCACGACGTCGGGATATGGCGCCGCATCGCCGATGTCTCCTCGGACGTCGCATGTTTTATGACGTCGGCTCCAGGGGATCTCTTCCTGTTCCCCGGGGCTGGCTTTTCATCCTGAGTCGTTTATTGACGGTCCCCAGGCTGAGCGACGGCCTCCAGAGGCCTGAAACGACGATAAGCTCGCCGACACAACTAGCTTTGCTTCGCCCAGATCTCAGGGTCTACTCCAGCCCCATGCTGGCGGCCTGGAGTTCGCCCTCGATCCTCGATGATCCCATCGATCTTTGATCCCATCAGGACTTCAGGCGCTGGCGGGCCACCGTCGCGGTGCCCGCCGGGCCGTGATCGCGCGGGGCGGACCAGGGCGGGCGCGTCCCAGTCCTGCCACACGATCAACTTCAGCATCTCGACGTCGTCTGGGACTTCGGCGACTCCGATCTGGAGAGGCATCATCGTTTTTTCCCTAACGGGACCTGCACGGCTTCCCCCAGGGCCGTAGGCGACCCGAGGAGGAGGAGGAGGAGGAGGAGGAGGAGAAGGTGGAGGAGGAGGAGGAGGAGGAGGAGGAGGAGGTGGAGGAGGAGGAGGAGGAGGAGAAGATGGAGGAGGAGGAGGAGGAGGAGGAGGACTGGTCGCCTAAGCCCTTCGGAGAAACCCTCCAACGGGACCACGCGTGCCACTGATGACGCGGCCGCGCCCTCGACCGCGACCGCCGAGGCCGCCAGCGGCGGGCCCCTCACTCGTCCACCTCGGCCGCGTCGAGATGCACCAGCGCGGAGTCGGAATCGAATCGGGTCGGCAGCGCCAGGGTGCACAACAGCGCCACGCGAGCATCGGGCCGCACCGGGTCTAAGACGAAGCCAGGGCGAGCATAAGTTCGGGTGAGGATAAAACCGAGAATCTCTGAGATCCGGCGGCTCTGGAGGATGTCTCGGGCGCGGCGGCCTTCTCAGAGCGAGCGTTCTGGAAGGCTCTGAGAGCGTTCTGGAACGCTCTGGAACGGATTTAGCCTCGTCGTAGCCCCGTCCGAGGGCCGTCTGAATATCGAAACCGAATCGGATCGAGCCGGCCGGAACCGACATCGAGTCGGATCGATCGAATCGGAAGCGTCGGCGCAGTCGAGTGGCACGCCACGCCCGTGGGGCGTTCGTCTTTCGGGTGGGGCGCTGCCCGCGGTGGAGAGGAACGTCTGCACGAGGGGAGTTTCAATCAAAACGTGTATGAACGACGGGTGGTAAGGACGCAAGAGCCTTGGAGGCCGAAATTGAATTTTTTTGATGGCGGTCGACCAATGAAAACGGCAAAGGACAGGCCGCTGAAGCAAGAACACAAGGGAAAGTACCCTAGATGAAGGCGCGTGTCCTTCCTAGGCGCGTTGACTGTATGAGGGGACTTGAGGCAGGGTGTGTTGTACTGCAGAATTGTTGATGCACCGTGGGTCTACTTGCTCCGCCCCCATCTCCTCCACCTCCACCTCCTCCTTTTCCTCCTCCTCATCCTCCTCCTGCTCCTCCTCCTCCTCATCCTCATCCTCATCCTCATCCTTCCTCCCCCTCCTCCTCATCCTCCTCCTCCTCCTCCTCCTCCTCCTCCTCCTCCTCCTCCTCCTCCTCCTCCTCCTCCTCCTCCTCCTCCTCCTCCTCATATCCTCCTCTTATCCTCCTCCTATCCTCCTCCTATCCTCCTCCTATCCTCTTCCTATCCTCCTCCTAGCCTCCTCCTATCCTCCTCCTATCCTCCTCCTATCCTCCTCCTATCCTCCTCCTATCCTCCTCCTATCCTCCTCCTATCCTCCTCCTATCCTCCTCGTATCCTCCTCCTATGCTCCTCCTATCCTCCTCCTATCCTCCTCCTATCCTCCTCCCTTCAATAATATCAACTCAAAACAGGGGTTTCTCGGAGCGTGGTCCGATGCACAGGACCTTTGGGATCTCTGGAGAGAGGGCTCTGTGAGCCTCGAAACCTTTCTCGCTCGGATGCACACAAGCGGGCGCTGTCGCCAAACAGCTCAAGGGCCCTCCGAAGCCCAGACGGCAGCGGAGGCAGCGGGTGAGAGGGAGCGAACGGGAGCAGGCACGGGCAACCAGAGAGGGGATTGGGGCAATGAGAAATGTGAGCGGTATTGCACTCACTATCTTTACTGTTGCCCAAAATCTCCCGAACAGACGTACGAATTAAACTGCTTCCGAAGCTCGGATTCACACGATAGCTTACGCAGCAAACGTACGGGCAGGCTTTCGCACGGCGGCAAAACACGGAAAACGTCAATATGGAAATAAAACGTGACATCTCAGACGTGTCACCTAGCCTTATGAAACAGAGCAAGAAACCGTTCACTCACGAGGGTAATCCGCTATCCGTCCGGAGAGGCAGTTGGTTCTTCGCAAGAATCTCTCGCAACTGACTCGGAGGTTTTACCTTGGTCAAATGATCCGCAACTTGCTTATCGGTCGGCACCCAAAACACGGTAGACTTCGGATTCTCGTCATCGAACTCTTCGGCAACATGTGCTACCGCAGCGATGTCTATACTCAAACGCCGTTCCAGCGTTGTGGATGGAGTCCCTTCTTTAGTTAGGGTCTCATACAAAGACTTGCAATCCGTTGCCACCTTCATCGGCATGAAGAAACTCGGGAGCTTACCTGAAATTCCCGGCTTGAAGTCCCGAAACAAGACCTCTGCGCACAAATGACGTAAAAAGTAAGCTGTGTCCACACCAGCATCCATTGCCATTGCCTCGGCGGCCAAAGTACTTCGAACCACTCGACGAATACGATGGGAACGCCAATCAAGTAGAGTAGCCGCTCCGCCCTTGGAAGTCAAACTATCTTGATCTGACAAGAAAACCATGAAACAAGCTTGACTTTGATTCTCCTGAGCGTTAGCCCATGCAGCATCAGTAAACGCGATGAGAACACTTCTCGTAAAATCCAGCGGCACAAAATATAGTCCAACATCTTGAGAATCTCGTGCCTCGCGCAGGATACGATTGATAGCCATCAAATTAGAAATCTTCGGATTCGAGCCTTGTCCAAGAGAAGTTGCAGCAGCTAGATCCGGCCTCGCCTGACCAACCAACCATTGACAAGATCCTACACCGCTCGCGAAATTGGTCTTCTCCTCGATGGTGAGCTCGGCCTCAGGCGTCGCAGATCTCCATCGCGGCAGTGGCGCCGGCACGCATTGACTACAGAACTCCTTCTGGTTGATGAAAATCGTGCCGTTCTCGTTCTTGCTAAGATGCTTGCCGCAGTAGGTCAACTTGTTGTCCCACCATTTACCAAAAGTGAACCTCTGGCGGATGGTCTCCAAGAGCTTGGAGCCTTCTCGAGCACCTGCGCCTCCGATGAGGTCGTCCACGTGGATGCCGATAATCATGATAATGCGACATGACTTGTTGTAGAAACAGAATAGAGCCTTGTCCAGCAGGCACTGCTTGCCACCGATGCGCATAAGAAAGTCACGAAGTTCTCGCCACCACAGGCGAGGGCTATCGACGAAACCATAGATAGCACGTCGCACAAGTAGGAGAGCACCGCGTTGAACACCTGGAAGTCCTTCAAAAGGTTGTCGAAGGTAGATCGGCTTGTCGCGCTGGGCCTTGGTCTGATCGGCTTGTAGGAAGGCTGTGGTAACGTCGCCTCCGAACAGGTTGAAGTCCCAGCTCGAGATCGTCTGCAGCAAGATGTAGAAACCAGCTCTCGTAAGTGTTGGTGCGTCACGTCTGAGAGTCATGATGTCGGGGTCGTTGTAGCCGATACCCACGATCCTCGCCTTGGCGTCGATCTCGGAAACTCCACGTCCGGCATTCTTATCGCGGTAGCAGACTCTTGATGGAATAATGAGCTTCTTCTTCTTCTCGGGGTCGCTCTCGATAGACTTGGACGTCTTCAGATCCAAGACCTCCACGGCTGAGAAACGTTGCCAAGATGACCATTCACGGGCCAGAGCTTCTCGAAATAGATGTAGCTGATCTGCAGGGATCTGCGAGTAGGGGATCTCACGAATGAGCGCCTTCTGGTCCTTCTTGGTCATAGTGAAGCTGCCGTTGTTGTTGAGGTAGACCTCGTAGGCTGGCGACTCGAGAATAGTATACTGCTCGCACATGTAGATCGGAATGGCAGAGTTCTGCTCAGTGCCGTTGAAGCAAACGTAGGTCGCACCTGGCGCCTGTGAAGTAGGCGGTGTAGTTGGCGTCTCTGGTTCTGCAAAGCGAGGTCGCCGGGCAGCTCGAGCATCTCCTACAGCGTCTTCAGGTAGTGGCCGAACAGCTGGCAGTATGTTGTCGTTCATGTTGTCCCCGGAGCCGCAGGCCTCGGTTAGCTGTCGTGGTTCAGCCGGTGGCTGAGCAGGAGGTGGTAGAAGTCCTCGAACGTGTTCACGTCCTCCTTCATCTCGTAGAGCAGCGGCTAGATCAGACACGATCACATCGTTCGGGTCGATCTCGGCAGGTGGTACCGCACGTTCGTCGTGAAATCGTTCAGGCGGTGCTTGAGTAGCCTTGCGTAGCTCAGTCAAGTCCTCCTCATCAGGTATCCACAATTCAGTACCATGTGCTTCTCGAAGTTGTTCTTTTGAAACCAAGATCGGATGTCCTGAAGACTGTACCCAAACATTGTTGTCATCGGCACCGCCACTACCACCAGGACCAACCACAGTAGCCACAATGAACCTTGCTGGGTATTGCTTGCCCTTCTTGTTCTTCGCCTGACGCCAGAAAGCCACTCGATCTCCCTGTGCGTAGTCTCCTCGGTAAGGTCGGTTAACTCGAAGCATCGCGCGCTTGAGAGACTCGGACCTGTCGTACTCGGTGAAGGCCATGTCTGCGAGGGCTCGTACCCGGGCTCGTTTAGCAAGTTCGGCATCTGCGGTCATGGCGCTGTGTACGACGGCAGAGTTAGCTGGGTCGGTGATGCTGTCGGGGATCCTCGGGTCCTTACCGAAAGTCCACTGATATGGTGAAGCACCGCATTGTCGAACACGAGAATTGCGAGACTGGTTGATCGCAGGTGCCATCAGCTTCATGTCCTCAACTCCGGCAAGCTGCATCGTGTCAATCACCTTCTTAGCCATGTGCTTCCAGAGCGTGATGTTCGCCTCGACTCGTCCTGACTGCCAGTGAGCTTCAGCTGGGGGCTCCTCGACGAGAACGTCGCGAGCCTCAAGATGTTCAACGAAAGCAGCCTGAAAAGCTCCATCACGATCGCACACCACATGATCTGGATAACCAGCCCGAGACAACCAAGCCAAATTGAAAATCTCCAGCACCTGAATAGGATCACGAGTCGAACAATGAACCACCACCATCAGTAAACCTGACATCTCCAAAATTCCCAAGAACTGATGTGTCGTAAGAGCAGAATCAGGTAGATAAAAGAAATCCAAACCAACTCGAGCATTGAACGAACCCATGTATGGAATCTTGGCGGGTCGTGGGCGTCGTGGTTTGATATTTCGCAAACATGAACTGCATCGCAGACGTCGGCTGAGATCGATCGCAACCTGGCTCGCTTCCCTCGCGTTCAGGAACCTCGTGAAATCAGCCTGCAGCGGGTGGCTCAAGTTCTGGTGCATCCTGGCAACGATGGGGGCGGCGCGCTTCTCCTCCGGCGTGAGCGGGGGCCCAGCGAACCAAATCTCGTCGCCGGCACGTTGTTGACCAGGCTGAGGCTGAAGTTCGTCTGGCTGTGGTTCGTCGGGTACTGGAACTGGCTGTCGTGATTCGCCTTCGACCGGTGGTCGAGGTGGTGCTGGTGCTTCGCCAACTGGAGCACGTCCGATAATGAACAACCCGTATCGTACTGGGTCTTGAAATCGTTCTCGTGGTGCGTAGGCCTCTGGGACGTACTCATGCTCGACGATGATGCGATTATCTTCGAGTAGAAGAACGGAACATCTATGAACGTCTGGACCGTACTCAGGTTTAAGACGCTTCGCCTTCGGCTGGAAGGCGGCCTGCACGTACAAGATCTGCCAGGGAACCAACTCGGACACCTGCTTCCACATCTCTGAGTCCTGCGCCACCGGAGCTGAGGGGGCGTTCCTTCGACTCATGACATCGACGACCGATTGCATGATGTTCTTCCACTTTGTCTCGTCCATGTGGGGCGCCGAATAGCAGACGTGGTGCACGGTGGGGGCTGGAGCGTCGTAGGAGACGGGGTAGTAGCTGCACAGGTAGATGCCGTGTCCGAACTCCTCGCTCTCGATGACCCTGGTGAGACCTCGGCAGATGGCGTCGGCTAGCTGCCAGGTGTAGACGTGTGAGAGCTTGGTGTTGCCATTAGGTCCACCTCCTTGCACTTCTTCATGTGGATGGCTGTGGTCACAGTGCCGGTCGAGCTCTTGAATGAGAAGTGGATGCGTGCCCAACCAACGGACCAGCTTCTTCATGGGGAGGCCCTGGTTGCCGACCATGCCGAACATGCACATATTAGAGGTGCACTCGTAGTTGTCCTTCCTGAGCTTGACGATTGCCTCCTCACGCCACGAGTCGGCAGTAGCGGGATTCTCGAGCAGGGCGCGGTTGCCGTAGTCCTTCTGCTTGTCGAAGATGTCCTTCGTGAAGGTGATGAAGCACCGCACCTCATCGCGTAGGTCCTCCAGCACCTCGGGCATCTCCTTGTAGTTGACTTTGCGGTTGAGCAGCGACCAGAGTGCACACGGAAGCTGGATGATGACCAAGCGCGGCCGCCACTTGTCTTCCTTCCTGGCCCTCTGCTTCTTCAAGTCCTGACCGAACAGCTTGTCCACCGGATGTAGAGCTCGCATGCCCCAGCCGTTGGCGCGGTCGGTGGCATGCAGGGTGATGCCGCACTCGCCCGCGAAGATCTCGTAGATGTCGAAGCCGCGTCGCTGGCGTCGTGGAAAACGGCTCTTCTGCATTCGTCTCTCATAGACGCGCTTCTCGAGCTGCAAGTTGTTGTAGGCGGACTTGGCCATACCGTAGTACCTCTTCGCCTGACCTGTCGTTAGTTGGCTTCCGCATGAGGTGGTCGCTCCCAGCTCGAGTCCTGCTCCTCGTCCATCGCCTCCGCGCTTGGTGACCTCCTCCTTCGTAGACTCGATGATCTTCGCGTCGCATTTGGGCGCCCAGGCCGCGCTGATGGAGGTAAGCGCTGAGCCGACGAGGAAGGCGGCGCGCATGAACTGCTTGCCGATGGAGTGATGCGATCGATCTTTGCGCCTGGAGTCTTTCGCGTCCCGTGGAGATTCCAAAAGATCACATCCGTCGTCCTGATCTGGTACTTCTCGCCCTTCCAGACCGTCCCGCAATAGAGGCACTCCTTGAACTTCCCGGCTGGAACTGTGTACTCGTGCTCCCTGTTGGTTGGATGGCAGCACGTCTTGTTCGGATCCGGGTAGCATGACATCCTCGTCCGTGATCCCACCCTGGTATCTGGAATGAAGCTGTCCACGGTCTTGTCCTGACACAAGATCTGCATCGCTGGAAACTGTCTGCTGAGAAAACTGTCGATCACCTTGTACCTTTGATTCCTGTCGAACATTCTGATGACCACAAACACTGCCTGAATGAGAATCGCCCATCGTGCCCGCAGGTCTTCGGCGGTGACCTTGGAGTCCGCGGCACACACGGTCTCTGGATATAGAGAATGGAAATCGTTCGAGGCTGTCCTCATAGAACGACTTGGCACCGAAATGGCCCTGGTATCGATCGTGTAGTTTGCTTCGGCTGAGAACGGAACATGTCGATGGATCTCCGTGACACTGTTTCGTTCCTCATCGTCGTTCTCCTGACGTATTCTCGTAGATCGCCCCGGACCCGGGCCCCAATCGTGATCTCGGAAATACTCATAGAACTTGTCAATCGGATCGGGGACGTTTCGACGTAGCTGAGGTACTGCTCGATCGGGTTCGGGCTTGCGGTGTCGTAGTTCTCGGTGCTGTCGTTCGGCTCGATCGGAATAATGTACGTCGTGGTGTTCTCGGTCGGCTCGATCGGAATGATGTATACTTCGTGCTGATCTCGGTTGTCTCGATCGGTGACGTGAGCTGACCGATGATCCCAGATAGATAGTGAGATGTGATTCGACTCTCGCAGGCTGCGCTCGCACACCGAAACTGTATAGGTATCTCGACTGGAAAACCTGCAACTGGCCAGTCGTCGATCCGAACTGCGAGATGTCCACTCTCAGACATCACAAGCTGTACGTTCGGAAGCTGAGCAGCCAGAAAATGGACTCGAGAACCAGCGAGGTCGATCACACAACCAAGATCTGTCATCAAGTCTCTTCCGCCCAGGAAAGGTAAACGAGCCGTCGCCACATCATCAATCGTTGAAGTGCGCAAAACCATCGCACGTCCGTGAACTCCGACTGGTATTGACCAACGTTCTGTACTCGTCATCGGCCCGCCAGGACCGAAGCGACACTGTTCACGTTCGGGTTGAGAGCATACCTGTAGACCCTGTCGGTCGAGAGAACGTTCTTGAAATAGTCGAAGCCCTCGTAGTCCAGCGACCGTCGTCTGGCACGCAGTGTCGAGCACCAGAAGGTTGGCGTCGCTGTCGATGTTCACCGTGCTGAAAACGTCCTTCACCATCGTCATCATGTAGATCGAGCGCTCCTTGTGAAAGCTCTTCGTATTGAACTTCGCCCTCTGGCCACCGTTGCCGCACGTCATCATGATATGTCGTGCGTGATCGGGCTCTTGGTGCTGAGTACTTTCTTCGTGAAGTCCGTACTCTCGGACAGCACCCTGACGTCGTGAACCGGCAGCCTGAGGCGGCGTCGTACCGAGTGTCTCGTGGATATTGTTTGTCGCCGCTAGGACCTGATGTACATACTCAGATTCAGAAACTGCGGGAAATCTGTTCGCACTGTAACCGTGTCTCGTCGAAGCCGAAGACGCGCCTGAAGTCGTTCGTCCATCTTGATCGTGCTCGTGTTGACAGGTTGCTGATGGGCAGGTGACCACCAGGCGTCGGAAGACTGCGAGGCTTCGTTCGCACTCCGTGTAGCAGCCGTACCTGTTGATGTCCTCTTTGAGGCTGGCGCTCGGCACTGGCGGTCACCTGCCAAATGGCCGATCTCGCCACAAGCCGAGCAGTTCGTCACCTTCTTGAGGTCCTCCAACGACATGCCACGTCGTGCCTTGCCTCCGTCATTGCCCTTGCCCTTGCCGGAACGGTTCGGCTGGTAGCCCTTGCCGTGCTTACCTTTGCCCTTGCTGTCCTTCGTGTTGTAGTAACCTCGTGCTCTGTTGGCCTAATTGAGACGATCGTGAGCCTGCTTGAACGTAACGTGAGCTGTGTGGATCTCTCTGGCCAACGCCTCGGGCAGCTGCTCGTCCCAGAAGTCGCCGGGATCTTCCTCCCAGCTGTTGTCGTACGAGTCGTCGTATCCGAAATCTGCGTCGGTCACCTGCCAATCTTCATGATCGTGCTGGTAGTCGGGCTCGGTGACCTCCCTCTCGTACGTCTCCTGGTTCGTAACGTGAGCGCTGTACTGAGGTCGGCACTTGCGATCTCCTTGAAACCTATTGCGCGGCACCAGCGGCATGGGAAACAAGATAGCCGCTTGCTCCTTCAGAGGCTTCCACTCGAACTTCGAACCTGCTGCCATCAATAATGTGGCCTGCGTCTTGTGGTCCAGCTGCGAACTCTTCATGAACTGCCTAATGATAATCGGACCTGGGATGTCCAAATCGACCGACTTTGCCTGGAGCACCGCCTTGCCCACTCGAGTGGCGAGCTGGAGTAATGTCTCGCCTGGCCTAACGTGCTCCATGTGGAAGAAGTCGTCCATCGCGGCGCCTATCTTGACCGTCGGGCGTTGATCGAAATAGGCCAACCTGTCGAGTAAGAGCTCCACGCCGTTCGGAACTGCGAAAACTGTCGGGCTCTCGTCCTCCACGTGATCGAAAGCCGTGTCTTTGAGCGCTGCATACAGTTTTGGTGCCATCTCCTCGGGGCCGATGATGTTCTTCGCAATCAAAACCCAGTTCTCGACCTGCGCCTTGTAGCGTCTGTATATCTTGGGATCCTCCATGTTACCGTCGAACTCCGGAGGCGGCGGTAGGTTGCCACGAGGCCTGGAGCGAGGGTCGTCGCGTGGATCACGTCCTTTACCTCGCTTGCCTCCCTTGGCCGAGAACTCTCCATCGTCGTAGTCGTCGCCCTCATCTGCAGCAGCGCGGCCACCAGCAGGTGGCGTGTTGGGAGGCGTGCTCCTCCTCGACATGGCGGCACTGTCCGTAGGAAAGTTGCTCTGCGCTACCAACTCAATAATATCAACTCAAAACAGGGGGTTCTCGGAGCGTGGTCCGATGCACAGGACCTTTGGGATCTCTGGAGAGAGGGCTCTGTGAGCCTCGAAACCTTTCTCGCTCGGATGCACACAAGCGGGCGCTGTCGCCAAACAGCTCAAGGGCCCTCCGAAGCCCAGACGGCAGCGGAGGCAGCGGGTGAGAGGGAGCGAACGGGAGCAGGCACGGGCAACCAGTGCACATGAGACGTTAGAGAGGGGATTGGGGCAATGAGAAATGTGAGCGGTATTGCACTCCCCTCCTCCTCCTCCTCCTCCTATCCTCCTCCTATCCTCCTCCTATCCTCCTCCTATCCTCCTCCTATCCTCCTCCTATCCTCCTCCTATCCCTCCTCCTCCTCCTCCCTCCTCTCCTCCTCCTCCTCCTCCTCCTCCCTCCTCCTCCTCTCTCCTCCTCCTCCTCCTCCTCCTCCCTCTCCTCCTCCTCCTCCTCCTCCTCCTCCTCCTCCTCCTCCTCCTCCTCCTCCTCCTCCTCCTCCTCCTCCTCCTCATCCTCCTCCTATCCTCCTCCTCGTCATAATTGGAGGTTCAGAGACAAGCTTGCGGTGAGCGCGCACCGCGCAGGCCCGAGGGCGGAAGGCGTCTACGGAGTGGTGCGGCGGCACGCTGCTGCCCGCAGTGCGGAAGACGTGGTTCCACGGCTGGCTAGACACACACCACCTGAGCTGACGAGAGCTCAGTCCGACCGAGATCGACTGCTTGGCATCCGGAGGGTCCGCCTGGCCCATCCTGGGCCCCCGCGGCCCGTGCAGCCGCAAAAGAGAGGTGGTCCTGGACCGTGATGGTTTTGTCTGCGCGCGTGATGTTCATGCGGAGCAGGCCGGCCTCTTTGCTGCCCGGCTTGACCAGGGCCTGAGGCTCTTCTTTCGCTCGGAGAGAGACGCGGCGGCGTCCGCCAGACGACGGGAGCAGAAGAAGGAACGGGAGCGGCAGGAAAAGGAGCAGGGGAGGAGAGAGGGACGAGGAGGGAAACGGCACCGAGGTGGACGAGGCGATGGGGGTGGGAGGGCGAGGAGGGGGTGAAGAGCGGAGAGGGAAGGGAGAGGGAAAGGCGAGGGAAGGGAGAGGGGGAAGGGCAAGCGAGGTGCGATCGCGCCATAGCTGACATCCCATCCCTCCCACCCATCCGTTCCCATTGCGCTGCTTGTCCTCCATCCGCCGATGCGTGTCACAGCGGACATGGCACTCCAAAGAGGACCCATCGTGCCGTGCGCAGTCGGAACATGTGGAGCTGCGTACCTTGGAGGAGGTGGCGGAGGAGCAGGACAGTGAGCAGGAGGAGGGAGGCGGACGAGTGCGAAAGACAGCAGCAGGAGCTGGAGCGCAAGGAGCGGGAGAGGCAGGAGGATCAGGGGAGGAGGGGGTGGGGGAACGTGGGTGGCGACAACGATACAAAAGGAGCCGGGTCCAGAAAAGTGGCCCACGCTGGGGCGAGAGCACATTTCTTAACGACGGGAGCAAAGCGCCGATCCGAAAGTGAGGTCCCCGCTGCACCGAGAGCGCCGTCTTGAAACACCGACAACAGTCAATTTTTCTTGTTAAAAATGAAATCCTATGTTGCAAACCGCCGAACGCGGAGAGGGCCGAATATCCTCAGGATTGACTCAGGGGGAAGAGGAGAGTAAGATTCAGAATGTGTAGTTGTAGAGGGTGGGGAGGGGGAGGGGAAGGGGAAGGGAAGGGGAAGGGTGGGGCAGGGAGAGGTAGTGCGCGGTTGGTGAGAGAATCGTTTGCACCACAGGCGCACTCAGGACCCTGCCGACGCTGGTGGCGAACTGGCCACCAGCAAGCTACTGTACAGCGAGCTGAGCCCACCACGCTCGCAGCGGGCATTCCCCTCGCTTCACCTCGGAGGCACGTGTGCTTGAGCGGTCGGAGAGCACACCTGTGGTGCTTGCCAACGTGCGGCGCGCTGGCAGAAGTGGTGCCCGCAGGAACACGAAGGGCGGCTTCAGAGGACCCCAAAGGCCTCCAGGAGCGCCCCAAGTAAGAGGGCCCAAAGATGTCCGCCCCCCCCCCCGAGAGCCCAAACCGGCCCAAGATGTCCCCCCAGGTGGCTTCAAGACTACACAAAGACTGTCCCAGAGGGCTCGAAGACCCCAACAAGATAGACCCAAGACGGCCCAAGAGAGGCCCTATACGGCCTGAAATAGCCCCAACATGGCGCTGACAGGCCCCCCGAGCCCAGATAGACCCCCAAGACAGCCTCCGAAGGCGCCAGACGGCCCAAGAGCGCCCTACAACGGCCTAAGAGGGCCCCGAGATAGCCCCAGAGGGCATGCAAGAAGGCCCAACGGGGGCCCGAGAAGAGCCCCAGATAGCCCCAAGACGCAAGACGGCCCCAGAGGGCCCCTTCCATGAGCTGATTGAAAACACCGTTCCACATCAGTTTGAAGGTCGATTATGAGGTTACTTTTTGCGCTGAAGGCATTCCTGCGGATCCTCGCCCATGTGCTCCCCCAGGCGTTACTACAAGCCTCCTAGGTGAGGTCCGAGTAGATGGGGTCGGAGGATCGCGCCGCATCGCCCATGCATCGGCGACGTCGGCGATGCATCGGCACCATCGGCGTGGAGAAAATCTGGCTCTACATCGAGCCGCATCGCCGATGCATCGGCGATGCGGCGCGACCCTCCAACCCGATCTACTCGGGCCCCATCTGGGAGGCCTACCGTCACGGCAACAGGTGGGGGAGAATGGCTGCGGAATGACATCGGACTACGTCTCGCTCCGCGCTCACGTCCTGTGCCATAACGCCCGAGATAGCTGGCCACAGTAGGGGCGTCCACAAGGCGGGGGGCGCGGCGACTCGCCGCAGGCGTCTTCGGGTACCCATCGTTCGGAAGAGATGGGCAGAAGCATGAAGGAAGAAAGCGTGGGAAGTGGACTGGGATTCCGCCCGCCCCCCGAAGAGGAAGGAAGAGGAAAAAAGCACCCGACCCTTGGAATAGGAAGGCGCCGAACGTCTACATCGAGATCTGAGAGTTCAGAAACACATGCTTTCAACGAACGACGGGCACGTCGGTACCCGGAGACGTGCCGTGCCTCGGAGTGAAGGCTCGACCACGTCGCGCATCGGCGCCTGCCTGTCCAGAGCTCAGGGAGAGCCTCGGGCTCACGGTGGCCTCCCCACCACGGAGCCCCCCCGCTTCTCCTTAGTGCTCTTCATGTAGTAGTATGAACAGTATTATCATGATCATTCGTATTGTCATTGGTATCGTTAGGCCTCCCAACCACGCAGCTATCGCTTTTAGTATTTGCAATACCAAGATTCAAACATACGAACATCATCCGTAGTAATACAAGTTTTTTTTAATACTAAGATTGGGTTTGGTCGTCTTCGCAGTCTTCTGAATATCACTATGATTGGTATGATTCGTATCAGTATGGCTGGTAACTCCCAAAACTCCTGTGTTGGGTTCCCGTTTGGAATAGAGCAGTGTGCTCGCCCGTCCTTCCTCCTCCTCCTCCCCTCTCGTCCCCTCCTCCTTCTCTCTTGTTTCCTGTGTTCCCCTCTCCTCTTCTCTCGTGCCGTCGGGCTGCGATCTGCGCAACTGTCGCCACTTTCGTGGGCTCCTAAGAAGCCCAGCGAAGGCACGTCATACGCAGATCACCACGGGACCTCGCCGCCCTTGGGGGGCTGCGATCTGCGCAACTGTCGCCACTTTCGTGGGCTCCTGGGAGGCCCAGCGGAGGTACGTCATACGCGGATCACCACGGGACCTCGCCGCCCCCTGGGGGACTTGCGATCTGCGCAACTGTCGCCAGTTTCGTGGGCTCCTGGGAGGCCCAGCGGAGGTACGTCACACGCGGACCACCTCGGGACCTCGCCGCCCCCTGGGGTGCTTGCGATCTGCGCAACTGTCGCCACTTTCGTGGGCTCCTAAGAAGCCCAGCGAAGGCACGTCATACGCAGATCACCACGGGACCTCGCCGCCCCCTGGGGGGCTTGCGATCTGCGCAACTGTCGCCACTTTCGTGGGCTCCTGGGAGGCCCAGCGGAGGTACGTCATACGCGGACCACCTCGGGACCTCGCCGCCCCCTTGATGTTCTGGTTTAGCCCTCGCCGCCGCGCCCTTTTGTGTTCGCTTTTTGGGCGCGTCTCTTTCAACGCTCCTGTGTTTCCATATTGCGTATTTGCCGTTCCTCTTCTTGCTGCGCTCGTCTGAAATCACTGCTGGGTGCTCTTCTTGCGCACTGCGGGTCCTTCAGAACGCCAGTCAGCATTGAGTGGTCCTGGATAGAATCGCCACATATATATATATATACAGAAAGGGTTGGGTACGTCTCAGGGTACTGCTATTAGTTGTGCTACTATTATGATTATTAGTGTTCGTATTACTCGTATTACTAATCTAAGCAAGCTCATTGATTTCATAAGTATGTCATCATGATTAGCGTGTTATTACTATACTTAGTCTTCCTGAGATTCATCCGTAGTACTACTGTTGACAGCATTACTATTGTTAGTAGCGTTCCCAGTACTAGTATTAACAATGTGATGGATACCATTGTTACAGTTACTAGCAGTCGCCTCATTAATACTATTGTTTTTGAATGTTCGTAACAGATGTGTTCCTAGTTCTCTTGCTTGGTCTCATCATTTTCTCAGCTGCTATAGTGAGCAGGTGGCAGCTGCATGTGCTGCAGCAGGCATGACAAGAAAGAAGCGCCTGCCGAGGCGGGAGGCCTGCACGTTACATGATGAGCAGTTCTGCGCTCATCGCCCCCTCGCCCGCAGCTTCAGCAGCTCAAACCCTTCCCCCCCTCCCTCCCTCCTCCTTGCGCAGGAACATGCCAGGTACATTGCGCAGGGGGCCAACGACGCAGTGTCCTGCTCGATCTGGCTCCAGACCTGTTCTCCGTCATCTGAGGGGCTACGGCCCCACCGCCGACGCTTCCAAGGCGCACGGCCGCGTGCGTGCGCGCGGCAGCGGATTTCGGCGCTCGCCTTGCCTCGCCCCCGTCCCTCCCTCCACCCCTCCACCGGGCGCCCTTTCTTTCTCGTCGACGGCGGAGTGCCGCCGCCACGTGACTCTGGACGGCGTGGGCGTCATCGCAGCGGCATCCACGAGGTAAGGAGCCTGAAGCACTAGGGATCGAACCGTCAACAATTCATGGTTTAGTCTTTGTTTGGGTGGCGGCCTCGCCAGTCAAGCCAAAGACGAACAGAAAATCTGATCAGGACACGTGCGCAAGCAAGCACATGTTTGATAAACTGGCGCTGACTGCGCGACTACAGATCAAAGTGCCGTGATTGAGCGAGGGGTTCATCATGATTCAGAAAGTTTGCGGCGGCCACGTCGGCAGCTGCGGCGATCAAAGGGCTGCCACGAGCCTCGGTCTCGGTGTCCTCGGCGATGGTGCCCTTGGGCCCGAGCAGCTGGTACTTCCTGGGAGCACCATCTTGCTGGAGGAGAGGAACATACTGGGCGAAGTTGTTCTCCTTGTCGTAGTTTTCCAGCGCCGTTGCCACTTTCTCCTCCGGCGTCTCCCTTAGAGTATGCGCAAGATGCCAGTATCGCGAAGAACTTGGATCACGTGCACAAGCCGCTTGCGGTGAATAGCCGATGGACTTCCGCACGAGGCCAGAGCATGGGGACACCAGAGATGACGCAGCCTCCCATGCCATTGACGAGGCATCGTCGGTGCAAAGGCCGATGCGTCTGGACACGAGACCGTGACCCAGGAACCCAGCCAGGCCTGGGAATCCGAAGACCGCGCGGCGACGCGCGACCCGGCAGACGCCCCTGGGGCACCCATCAGTCGAGACACTGCACTACCCTTAAGCCGGGCCCGTTCCTCTACAGGAAGAATACTCAAACATAGTCAAAAATAGTCTGGGGATGATTGTTCGACTATTGTGGAATATTGTTGGGGTATTTGTTGTTTTCGTCCCAAATCCGACTGTAGGGGGACACGCCCGACCTAACACTACCCTGGACAAGGAATGCAACTCTCGCGCGCGGTCCGTCTCCCTGCGCCCCCCGATTTCCACGTTCGCGCGGAGCGCCAGGCGATCCGACTGTTCCACCGTCGGCCGCCGCCGACTCAATACTGAAATCGGAAGTCCAAGGAGGGGGACCAAGGGATTGAGAAATAGCAGCATTACTTTTCCAAGGGGCTGTTTACCTTCCTTCTCGCCCTTCTTCCTCCCTCCCCAAACATCCGGCTGCTCCAATTTTTGTTCGACCAGTGTTTCGTCCCGGGTCGTTTTTTGACGCTCCCGAGGCCCAGCGAGGGCCCCCGGAGGCCGAAAACAGCCAGAAGCCGCCTGCTCCATATATTTTTATGTTGGCGCCTCGGACCTCGGGCTTCCCCTCCCCCTCTCCGGCCCTCCTCCCCGGCCCCAGGCGCTCCCAGACGGAGGGACCGGCACCCCCGCACGGGGCAGCCAGAGAGAGGCGCCGACGCCCGACGCCGCCCGGCCCCCAGCGAGGCCTCCGCTTTCAGCGCAGGGCCCCTCCTGGCCCCAGACATGCGAGCTCCTGCCTCCCAGACCCCGTCGAGCAACGAAAAAATCACGACGGGAGGCTTTTCGCCATTTCCGGCCTCTGGGGGCCCTTACCGGGCCTCGGGACCGTCAAAAAACGACTCGGGATGAAAAACCGATCCCAGGGAACAGGTCGAGACCTCGGGGGGTCGACGGAATGAAAAATTCATAACGTCGGGAGTCTGGGTTCCTTGATAGCGTATCTCGGCGGCGAGCGAGGGGAGGAAGTGAGAAGGAGAATGCCCTCCCAGAAGGCTCGGAAGTCCCCTGGCAGTCTGAGAAGTGTTCTAAGCCTTCCCCGAAGGCACACAACAAGACTTCTCAGAAGGCGCGAGGGCTTCTGAGAAGTCCCGCCGCCTTCTGAGAGGGCCTTCTCCTTCTCACTTCTCAAGCCTCGATAAAATCGAGACGGGTGCTTTTCGTCGTGTTCGGCCTCTCAGGGCCCTTACCCGGCCTCGGGATCGTCAAGAAACGACTCGCGATGAAAAACCGGTCCTGGGGAAGTGGTCGAGAGGTCGGGGGCCCGTGTGTTGAACAAATTGAAACGCCGGATGTCTCGGAAAGGCTAAGGAGCACGTGACCAGCTCCAGAAAACCTGAACACAAACATGTTGACGCCTCGTTTCGTTGAGCAGGGACTGACCGTCCTGGCATGCCTATGGGCCTAGTTCTTAGAACCGCAAAATGTTACAAGAACAACAACAACAATCCTCTTAGAACAGAAACCCGATGTGTTGAAACAAGACGGTCTCAACAAGGAATGTTCTAAGAACATCTCGCGCAAACCAGAAAGTGTTCTCATAACATGATTTGATGGGCTTATAGGCAAGCCGAGACGCCTTGCCACTCCTCCAAATTTCTACTTCGACTGGCTATTGCACCAGCCTTCCGCTGACGCACCGCTGGCGCACTCGCCGCCGTGCTACTTCCGCTCGTCTCCGGGTGGCCCTCCGCCGCCCTCCCCCAGAGCCCCAGAGGCGAGCTCTGCCGAAGGCGAGGTCCGGACGGTCCGACTGGGGGGTACGGTGGAGCTCACGAAACGCTGTACTGGGTGGGTGGAAATGCCAAATTCATGCAACCTGGACGGTCCCACTGGGGGCTACGGTGGAGCTCCCTGTGGGGCCACAAAACGCTGTACTGGGTGGGTGAAAATGCAAAATTCACGCGTCCCGGACGGTCCGACTGGGGTCTTCGGTGGAACTCCATATGGGGCCACGAAACGCTTTACTGGGTGGGTGAAACGCAGGGAGGAGGGAGGAGGGGGAGGAGGGGGAGGAAGGAAGGAGGAAGGAGGAACGCGGGGACCGTCTCTTCAAAACGAGGACCCAACACCACAGGATGGTTGGGAAAAAATTAAATCAAATGTCATAAAATAATCGAAAACTCGTCACCAAACTTTTGTTGACCACTCTGGAATAGATATTCGTCACCAAACTTTGTTTGAACACTCTGGAAAATAATAATCCGAAAATCATAATCCGAAAATAACCGTCACCAAACTTTTGCTTGACCACCCTGGAAAAAAATTGCGCCTGTGGAGGGACAGGCCCGACTTAACCCTACATGTTCTTGCAAGCCCGGGTGCCTTCAGGGCGCGTCTGAATCTGCGACCGGGGGACTCGCACGGCGGGGGGCACCCGCTGGGGACGTGGTTTCTGACTTGTCCCGCCTGATGCGCGCGATGGCCGATCATCCCGCGACGCCCTCTAAAACGGAGGCAGGATGAGAACTTCGGATGGAGATAGATCGGGAATCTCTGAGAGCTAGCGGGTATGGAAGGTGTATCGGGCGCCGCGGCCGTTTCAGAGAGCCCTGGAATGCTCTGAGAGCTTTCCAGAACTCTGGAACGACAGGCCTCGGAAGAAATTAGCGAACACTCATGCCGCATTCATCTGTCAATGCACCCCACCCCAACAATCAATGTTTGAAGGGGCCCTGGGACACACAAATAAATACACACACATAAAAAGGATTCACCATATATCCCCGTATTTTCTGGGTTTCTGTCTTCCCCCCACTGCCCATATTTTCCCATATTTTCCTGGGAATGAACGACTCATTGTGTCAGTGTGTTGTGTTCCCCTGCTGAATGTTGGTGTGCGCTTCGACCGCAGCCTTCCCCGCGCGTGCCAACTTGGAGCGTGGGGGAGAAGGGGAATGTCCACTAATTGTTTCCCTCGACCTGGTTTACCTTGATCCCAAGCCTGCCTGAGTCTCTCGCCTTCGAAGACTTCGACGGGAACCCTGGCCCCCGACCCCACATTCGCCACGCGGCAGCCCTGGCGGCGCTCCACTCGGGACCGCCCGCGTCAAAACCAACGGGGGGGGCACTTCCACGGAGACCCCTGCGCCAACCGCGCCAACCGCTTCTGCCTCGAAGATGCGCGGGCCGATCAGGCATCCCGGCACCATACACGCTTTTTGGGCGCCGCGGCCACGCGCGCACCTGCGCAGCGGAGCAAGAGCCGGGGGAGTGGGCGCGGGCGCAGGCCAGCTCAGAGGCAACAGGGGCGCCCCGGAACCACGCACAAGGGATCGGCACTTTGCTTGCTCCTCCGCGGCGTTGGACCAAGAGCTGGCCGTGTACTGACGGGACGCGGCAGCATAATTTGCAATCGAACGTGTGACGACCGCCCTCAAGACGAGGCCGAGCCCTCCCGGGCAAGGGCCGAACCAAGGCGAGCGGCGCAGGAAGTCGTGCGGACGCCACGTCCACAAACGGTGAACAAACGCATGGCCGAAAAACAAAAAGATAGAGAGAGAGAGAGAAGAGGGAGGGAGGGAGGAAGAAAGACGCGACGACAAGGACAGAGGGATCAGAAGAGACCGAAGCCGAAAGAGGCGAGAGAGACGAACAAGCCACACAAACATACACTAATACACTTTTTGGGCGTCGCGGCCATGCACGCAGCAACGCAGCGAAGTCATGCTTGTGCACACACACGCACATTTCGGCGTCGCGGCCACGCGCGCCGCGGCGCAGCAGAAGTCAAGTCAAGCGGGAACGCGCGGGCTGGGTCAGCTCACACAGCGTGGAGATGCTGGACCCAGGGGGTCGACAGCAATACTCGCAAGGGGGCGGTCGCGAAATGAGTGAGAAGAGGGAAGACGGAAGGGGAAAAGAGGACGGGTAGAAGCAGTGCGATGGCGACGAGCCGAGGCGGCAAGAGAGGCGTAGCAGGAGGGCGGCAAGGGCAGCCGACCAACAAGGAGAAACAAGGCAGCGTGCAGAACCCCGGGCCAGCCAGGGAGCACCGGGTGGAAACAACAAAGATGACAGGGAGCAGCCAGGAGGGACGAGGAGGGGCAAGGCGACACACACACACACACTCTTTCGCCAGCCTTTCCTCCGAGGCGCCGCTGGGTCACAAACAGCGATAAACAGTACCGCAACATTCGTAAACATGCGCAGAGCAAAACAATACAGGTCAATAGTCGCAGCTATATCAACACAAACAGAATTCGGCAACATACAGGTCCCCCTGAAGAAAAAAAAAAAAAACAAAAAAAAAAAAAAGGCGCCCAACCGTTGGACCAAAATGCACACGCGCAGGTTTATTCCTCTGGCGCGCCGATGGTAAGCATGCAATCAGCGAAACAATTTCGTCTAGAACGGGTCACGTTCAAACTAAGTCGACAATTCTGCGCGGTTGAGTACACGAGGCTAAAGCCGCCAGTTGGGTACGGACATAGCCGACCGATGAGCAGCCAAAGCCAACACGCACACACAGACACACACACACATTGTTGGCGTCGCGGCCACGCGTGCGGTGACGCGGAGTACAAAGTTCGACGAAACGCGCGCATCGGCCGGCCTCACGCGGCATAAGCCTGCGGCGCAGAGGAGCCTCGGGCGCGGTCGGCAAGTGGAGGCGCCAATTGCGAACGAACTTCATCGAACGCGCCATGATGAAAACGTCCAATCAAGGCCGTGCAGTTAGGCGGCGAAGAACGTGAGGCGCTGCAAAGCCAAAGAGCAGCGGCCAGCGAAACGAGGAACAGA